TAATGTCTTTGGCTGCATAGATGAGCTCAATGTTCACCTTGACACGTGTTTTTGTTAACAATTGTCTATGGTATTTAGGTTATATTATATAATATATTACGTAAGTACATTAAATAATAGTTTTTACATATTGTCCTTCTAAAACATAGCAGGTTGTAGTTCAAGTTGACGGCGATGTAAACAAAACACGAATATTCACGACATTTTTAACATTAAACATTTGACTTTACCGCCATTTTCTGTTTGTCTTTCCCGCCATTTTTTTTAATTTCATTATTATGTTAACGTAAGATAAATATGATGTAAAGGTCATTATTTTCTATATTATTAACCGTGAGATTATTGCGTTGATCTTAAAATAATGATTATTTAATTGTACATGTTGCGTCGGAGCCGCCATTACATACGTTAGTCAACTAACTACAAGTTTGATCAGAACAATACATAGGGAGAGTTTACAGTAAAAAAAGTCACATAATATTAATGAAAAACGTGAAATATTTCGTATATACTGTGACAGGGAAAACATACCTAATATATAATTATTTTATCTCTTAATATTTAAAATATTCTTTAAGAAAGCATATCAGCTTAAAAATAACAGATAAACAAATTCAATTGTAACGATAAGAAATCCGTTTTAATTTAAAATTTGTCATATCAAAGCACCCACACCAACTGCCAAAATAAAACCTTTTTGGTATAAAAATCATAATATGAAAGGCATCAGAAAAAAATATATATTACAAAATGTTATAGTCTTTAAAAATAAATTATACCGAACATTTCTGTAATGGCGCACAATAATTATCTTGTCAAAAATATAAACGTTTGAAATGATTTGTCTAGTGAAACTTTATAGGATGTTACATAAAAATGGATGCCAAATAGGTTTTATGTAATAAAATATGTTACTGTAACAAGCGTGTAACAATCAAATTAATTAATGGTTTAAATTATATCCATATGTTAATTTAGAAAGATTATAAATGAAATAGAATTTATTATCAGATATGGATTTACTGTTGTTTCTGTTTAAATTAAAGTTTAAATGAACGGTTTTAATAAAATGTAGTCTTCATTCTATACATATATTAAATTCTCGTGTCGCGGTATTAGACAGAGAACTCCGAAACAGTTTGACCGATTTTGATGAAATTTTGTGAGCATATTGAGCAGGTCTGAGAATCGACCAAAGTCTATTTTTCATACCCCTAAGTCATGAGGATTATTCACCCTTATTTTTTATTTTATTTTTCGGACGAAATTTTTTATTTTTATTTTTTATCACCAACCCTATTTTTTTATGGCAAAACAAATTTTGCCGAATCAGCTACTATATGATCAAAATCTATTTCGATATTAATAGTTTTATTAAGAATTTCTATTTAATAGTTGCGTAACCACATTCTTTCATTGCAAAAGGCATCTCATACAAATCTATATTAAAGTTTAGGGACATTTTGACATTTCAGTAACCACAGATTATAATCACGTCTCGAGTATCGGGTGTGGCTGTTCACGAGTATTATACATTTAAATTTTACTCTGTTGTGAATGACTTATAAAGATTAAAAAATATTCACAGATAATTAATTTATTCATTTTATTAGATACAGATTTAAAAAAATCTTTAAACATTATTCCACATTAAAAGAGTTTCAAATATAAATAAACCTTTCTTCTTCTTCCTGGCAAGTTCCCAGCTTTAGCCAGGGTCTGCCTTACATGTTGTGAATAGTTTCAGCTAATTGTTTTCACGACCGGCCGCCTAAGACATCAACCCTCTTTGGGAATAATAAATAAACCTTTCTATACCATTATAATTATTTTAAAAGAGAAACGAAAAAGACAAATTTTAATTTAAATATTATAATAATCAAAGTTCAATAACCTCATCCAAATAATTCTCAAACTATTTCAAAAGTATTAAGATCTTTTGTAACATTTCACACGATAGAACACAATGGACCAAGTCTTCAACACGATCACCTGACCTCACTCGTCTGTAATCTAGCTTAGAATACCTTAGTATGAGTTTAACTAAAAACGCAATACCGATAGTTTGATAGTCTCACGATAAGTACGCTCAGAGTATTATTTGTAAATTGTTTAAGAGAAGTAACAAGGATTTTGATCATCAATTTAGTTCAGATTTTATTAACTGGTTATATATACATATATATATGTTCTTCTTCATCCTGGTAATTTCCCAGGTTTAGCCAGGGTCTGCCTTAGTCTGCCTTACATGTTGTGAATAGTTTTACCTTATTGTTTTTACGACCGGCCACTGCCTGACATCGACCCTCTTTGGGAAGTATATATACAAGATGTATATATAAAATATTATCTCTCTATTTCCACATACATAATATTATTCTTTCTTTTTGACTTAAACTTGAAATTACTCCTTAATTTCATAAAAACATACCTTAAGTGTTACGTGCCAAGGTTACTTTTACTACTTAATTCTGTCTTATTTATTTATTTATTTATTATTGTCTTAATTGTAATATATATTGATTAAATTCTATTTAATCGAGTAAATCATTAATCACATTGCTCCACATTATGTATAACAAAAGCCATTGTTTGTATGTGAGTTTGACCCATACGTCGAATGTTAAAACAATAGATATAGGTATTACTCTAACAAATATTAAGAAGATTTTGCTCACAATAAATAGAAAACAAAATTATTTCTTTTATTTAAAATTATTTTTAACTGTTTTCATAGTAATTTGTGTGATTAATCAACAATGAAACATACACATAACAGCGAATGTAATTCCCAAAGAGGGTTGATGTCAGGCAGGCGGCCGGTCGTAAACACAAATAGCCAAAACTATTACATGTAAGGCAAACCCTGGCTAAAGCTGGGAAATTGCCAGAAAGAAGACAACAGCGAATGTATAAGATTAGGTCATATTTAGAAAATATTCTTGATTTCTTAAATATAAAAAATATATACCTACTAATATTATAAATGCAAAAGTAATTCTGTCTGACTGTCTGTCTGTTACGCTTTCACGCCTAAACCACTGAATTGATTTTAATGAAATTTGGTACAGAGATAGCGTTAACCTTGAGAAAGAACATAGGATAGTTTTTATCCCAGACATTTGAAAAGTTCTCTTGGAAACGTGATATAACCGAACTCCACGCGGGCGAAGCTGCGGGCGGAAAGCTAGTAAAATATAAATTAATAATAGTAAATAAACAATACATATGTATTAAATAGAGTGTGTCTTGATTCTAAATCATTCTTTTGTTAACTCCACAATCGCCATTATTGAACAGACAGACAAAACGAAAGGAAATGTACGGATAGCAACAAAAATACTTAAATATTTATAATTCATAATATGATAATAGATAATTTTATTGAATTTTTGAGCAGTATTGATATAATAACTTATTAAAATTTTAAAGTTATATAGGATTAAATTTAATATATAAATTATCTTTATCAGATGTCACATAATTTTTATATTATACGTAAGAAAGTAAGATTTCGTTGGAAATTTGTGGATAGCTTAGAACCAGGAGATGGACATAGGATATTTTTGCATTCGTTCGAAACAAAAAAATAGCAAATAAATTCCAAAATCAGTCTACTTACTGACTAAATCGAAACAGTTTGTCTGTTCATACATTTCTTATTATCAAACTAACGCAGACTAAGTCGAACAAAAGCAAGTATAGAATATTTTCGTTCACTAAAAAAAATTGCTAATAAAATCCAAAATGTTTTTATTTATTGACTAGATGGAAACAGTTTGTCTGTTCATACATTTCTTATTAACAAATTAATTTAGACAAAGTCGATAGTAAAAGCTAGTATATAATATTTTTTGCTGACGGTACATGGGTACAATGATCTATTGACGGTGCAAGGCCGTCTCCACAAGACGAGTTCGCGTAACTTACTTCAGTATTATCAATGTATTTTACTAACTTGTGTTGTGTATTTAATAAATAATTATATTATATTTATTTACTTCACATATAATACATAATTTTCTGTATTAGTATATATTTATTGTAATATATCTTTATGTTTATCTAACCTTATTTATGGTGTATATGATTAACAAACACATACTTAAATGCTATATAATATAAAGTCAGTGGTGGCCTACTGTTTAAAAGGCCCGCCTCTCACGCATAAGGGCTCGGGTTCGATCCTGGCAAGTACCAATGTGATTTTTCTGTCATATGTACTTTCTGAGAGTATTTAGACATCACTGAATCACTGATTAATGCATTCCCAAAGAGGGTTGATGTCAGGCGGCCGGTCGTAAAAACAATTAGCTAAAACTATTTACAACGACCCGACATAAAGTGGGATCAGGACAGGAAAAGTATATATATACGTATATGTATATATACTATATATATAACAAGAATATTTTGTAAGTTTCTGTGATATATTATTTTTAATATTGCGTTTAGTTTTTATATGATATAAAAATTTTTTGAGTTTAAAATATGATAGTTTCAAAATTAGTTTTCGTTCATGGTTACCAACGAAAGAATTTAAAATTAACTAGCCTTACATCGCATTGTTGCAACTTATAAATATATACTGTTCTTATTATATAAATTGAAAAAGAATACACTTACTCATTATAAAGAAAATTTTATGATATCTAAGACTTTTTTGAGTATTATTGAAATAAAAACTACTATTTTCGAATGTACTATGCGTTTTAAAAACATGGTATGTAGGTACATCCGAAAATATTACTTTTATTTAGATAATTTATTTGGAATTTCTTAATGACACAATATTCATAGAAATAGTCACGAGAGTTCAATTCATTTTATTTATGTGATTATAAAAATAAAATTAGATAGAGGTCCCTTAAACCTACACCTGGGTCGCAAGTCCCAGTCACTGTTGAAGCTCCTCTCACTACAACGATGGACCCGACACACGCACCGTGAATACATTGAATGATGAAGCTTCATCTCATATGATAATATTATCTTTCCAGATGCTCTTTTCGTGTGTAGTCTACGGAATGGTGTTGTTGACGGCAGCTCAAAATGAATACCTACCACCCAGCAAAGGTTACCAGTACCCAACGCCAAGTAAACCATTTACACCTAAGGTATATATACCTTTTTACCCATAAGACTCTTAATCTCTACTAATATTATAAATGCGAAAGTAACTCCGTCTGTCAGTCTGTTACGCTTTCACGCCTAAACCACTGAACTGATTTTAATGAAATTTGGTACAGATATAGAGTTGACCTTGAGAAAGAACATAGGATAGTTTTTATCCTAGACATTTGAAAGGTTCTCTAGGAAAAGCGATATAACCAAACTCGACGCGGGCGAAGCTGCGGGCGGAAAGCTAGTAATAAATAAATAGAAATTGGCAAAAATCAGTTCCAGTGTGAATGAAGCCTTAGCATAAAATATATAAGACGAATGTAATCAATACATTTATATGTTTATATATGTAATACTATATTCTAAGGACACATGTAATCAATATATATGTTTAGGACTATATTCTAATGCAATTTTGTTACGTTTTTCACTTATTAATAAGAAAAATACTAAACAATTTAAAATATAATATAAACATTTTATATGAAATTTGGTACAATTAGATAATCATAATAACAAAACCTCCCACATTGTTGTAATTCTCAAGCCGAATTCATGGTTATGTTTTTTTCAAGATGAAACAATTTTGAAACTGTTTTGGAGGTCATGCATTGTTAAGTTACAATACGAGCCATTAAATTAAACAATGTCCATAGTTTTTCCTATGCTATTGAAACACTACGTTTTTTTATTCACGGGATTAATAATTCTTATCAATTATCAGATCTTAATTAGACATTTATACACGACATTCTCAAAGTTAATCAACGTTAATTATGATTAATGAAATGACGTTCATATCTATATATATATAAAATTCTCGTGTCGCGGTGTTAAACAGAGAACTCCTCCGAAACGGCTGGACCGTTTTTGATGATATTTTGTGAGCATATTGAGTAGGTCTGAGAATCAGCCAACAACTATTTTTCATAACCCTAAGTCATAAGGTTTGTTCAGCTAGTTTAATAGTATATACAACTATTTTGAAAGCTACAATCAATCAATAATATGGCAGTATTACATCAAAATTATCACACTATTACAAGTTACAAAAAGATAGGTATTTTCAAAGATTAACCAAATGTAGACTAAAATGTGATTTCCGAGTCATATGTACTTTCTAAGGGTATTTAGACACCACTGACTCATGAAGGAAAACATCATGAGGAAACATGGACTTATAATTTCCAATTGTAAATTCGAAATCGTCAACTCGTCTTGAGCAAACGTGGTGATTAATGTTCAAAACTTCTCCATGTGAGAAGAGACCTTACAGCAGTGGGCTCTTATAGGCTGATGATGATGAGACTATAATAAGTTTCCTAATATGATCTGTTAATCTCTTTCAGCCTACACCTCCAACAATAAGAACGACTACACCCAGAAATGGTTACTTACCTCCAGTAACACAACCTGCGCCAACTCCACCCCGTCCTACTCATGAGGTAAGTTACTTCAAGAGTCCATCAAGCGTTAAAGTATAGCATAGTCAGTGGTGGCCTAGTGGTTAAAAGGCCCGCCTCTCATACACGAGGGCGCGGGTTCGATCCTGGCAAGTACCAATGTGATTTTTCCGAGTCATGTACTTTCTAAGTATTTAGACATCACTGATTAATGTTGATTCCCAAAAGAGGGTTTAATCTTATTAATCAGAGCTTAGAGTTTGATGATAGTATTAACGTAGTTTTTTTGAGTGTAACTATCAACTATCTGTAATTATTTTGACTTTACACTTGTGGTAAGGATATTGAATCTACGATTTCTTTCAAGATGAGTTGTATTACTCTGTAGAAATTGTATCCCTACTAATATTATAAATGCGAAAGTAACTCTGTCTGTCTGTCTCTTGCGCTTTCACACCTCAGCCACTGAACTGATTTTAATGAAATTTGGCACAGATAGAGTTGACCTTGAGAAAGAACCTAGGATAGTTTTTATCTCAGACTTTTGGAAGGTTCTCTTGGAAACGCGATATAACCGAACTCGACGCGGGCGGAAAGCTAGTTAATTATATATTTCATAAGATTTTGGTAGAAATAATAACAAAATAGTTTTATAATATATATTCAAACATCATCTATATAATGATCGGGAGCTTTCGCCGGTTTCGGACCTTTGTAGACCTTACTGACATATTTTTCTGGTTCTGTTGATAAAAATAAACCATTTTATATTAATTAAATGAGTTCTAAGACTTTCGCGAGTATTCGTTTATATGAAACCAAGTTATTTTATTATTTTAAACTACATACTCCCGACGTTTCGGTTAATTTACAGCAACCGTGATCATTAAGACGAGATGTGAATAAAGTAACCGAAACATAAGGATTAACTAGTTTAAATTTAAAATATATTAGTTTAATTAAATTCATATTAAACTATGATAGAAAAAACGTAATATATACAATAGTATAGATCATTATCTAGTAATTATTTTAATTACCATCTGTTTCATTTGGCTGATCACCCGTAACTGCTTTGTCATCATCATTATCATCATTTAATGATGGTTTATCAACTGAAAATAATATTACATCATAAATCATAATAATACTTGTAAAATTCATGATATATTATACCTCTATATAAAAGAAAGTCGTGTTAGTTACACTATTTATAACTCAAGAACGGCTGTACGGGTTTGGATGAAAATTGGCGGAAAGATAGATTATAACATAGAAAGTACATAGGATACTTTTCATCCGATTGAAAAAGAAAAAATATAAGTTGATCAAATACAAAATTTTCTTATCTACTGTCTTTAAAGAGGAATAGAATTCGCCTGGTCAGATATACATTAATAATTCTGAAACTAACGCAGACGAAGTCGAGAGCAAAAACTAGTTATGATAAAAACATGGCCAATATGTCTTGTTTTCGGTTTAAAACATTTAATATTTATTACTATGAAAAAAAAACATAAAAGAAATGAATTTAACGTAATATAATATGGTTGTGATTTAAATATTAATAATAACAAACTCTTCAAATCTTTGAATTATTTTACGAAAATGAGAGATTAAAATAAAATAATGATTTTGAAATGATCCGTTAGGTAAAATATAAATCGAAATATAATTATAGTAAGTATAATTGTAACTGAGAAACAGATGAACAAAGCATATACAAGTAATCAAAATTTATATAATTTTGAGTTTTATAATATTAATGAATAAAACCAGGAGATTTTCTCATAAAACTATGATAAAAAGAATGTATAATAATTTAACATTTGAAGAAAATTCTTTTAATATTTTAACTTCGATTATATAAAAGTAAAGAATCAAACCAAAACTAAAAAAAAACACATATTTATGTGTAACATTTTATCTATTCTTTCATGGATAATAAAAATGAGATGATTTAATATATATGTTATTGAAACTATGTATTATATATGTATATATACGTGTGTGTGTGTGTGTGTGTGTGTGTGTGTATTTTGACTTACCCTCATTGTCGTCGTCAGAATCTTGAACTGTATAGTATATGATTATTTATTAATAATTATATTTACCTATTGGGTCTAATTGCGTATATGTTTAACGCACACAGATTTACTTACGCTTTTTGATATCACCAACTGAAATAAATCGTCATCGAATTAGGATTTTTTTGTAAAATATATTTAGATTTAATTTATCATTGATATACAAAGTTCTAATAATGCTTTTATTAAGAAAATTATTCTAATAAGAGTAGTTTTTGACTCTTCAATATATTTCAATAAAATTGATTTTGCAAAATACAAATATTGAATTATACTCCTAATTAGATTCTTGAAATAACGAAAAAATATTATTGTTTTTTTTTTATTAATAATTATTTATTTTTCTGAATCGATACGCCAATTTTTATTTATTGAAATAGATTAAACAGATATATATATAAATAATACAACTAACTTGTTATTATCTGATCAGTTGTACATCTTGTTGAAGTCTCTATATCTATATTCTTTTCCTTTTCTTTAACTTTTCCTTTGTGTTTTTCTTTATCTTTATCTTCCTTTTCCTTTTCCTTTTCCTTTTCCTTTTCCTTTTCCTTTTCCTTTTCCTTTTCCATTTCCTTTTCCTTTTCCTTTTCCTTTTCCTTTTCCTCTTCCTTTTCCTTTTCCTTTTCATCTTTATCTTTTTCTTTTCCTTTCTGTTTTTCTTCATCTTTTTCTTCTCCCGTTACATTTTCTTCTCCCTTATTCTTTACGCCAGTCTCTCTAGAATTATCTTCTTCATTTGTATCATTCTTAACCAATTTCTTTTCCTCTAGATCCGATTCCTCGTTTTTTAATTTCAATTCATATCCAGTTAATTTATTTTCTCTCGAATCATCCGAATCCAATGCAAGTGCTTAATATGAAATATTTTTTTATTAAATATCAAAATATTATATCGTGCAATATAAATAATAAAAAAGAAAAATACTTACATAATTTTTTGTTTCCGCCATCTATATTGAATAATGATTGTATTAATAAATGTATAATTCTTATTAAGTTTTGTTCATAAGTCATACCGTACCTTCTTTTGAATCACTAGTCTCATCTCGATCTGAAAAAATATACACGAAATTCTACCTACAGGAAAACTACAGAAACTGACAATAGATTGAAATTTTCATCCAATAATTCATCCGAAATGATTTCGTTAACACACACACACAGACACACACACATACACACTTAGATCTACACATACACACTAAGACTCACACATACACACTTAGACCCACACATACACACTTAGACCCACACATACACACTTAGACCCACACATACACGCTTAGACCCACACATACACACTTGGACCCACACACACATACACTTAGACCCACACACATACACACTTAGACCCACACATTCACACTTAGACCCACACATACACACTTAGACCCACACATACACGCTTAGACCCACACATACACATTTAGACCCACACATACATACTTAAACATTCACACACATACATCTCTTGAATACAACATCAATCTATTTAGAGGTCAATTTATGCTGGTCATTTCACTCACCTTCTATCAAAGCTTCCTTTGAACTTGTACTACCAGAATCATCTTGACCTCGTCGTCCTGAAATTATCATTTCAACTTCGTGCAAATACCGATTCATACACATATTTCACACAGATTCATATCATTCTTCTAGAATAATTTCTGTCAATAAAGTTACTTACCACGCTCGATACCTACAAAATGTTGAGGTACAAAGATATTGTGAAAATTACATTATAATAAAACAAAGACAAATATCTATAATAGATTGTTCTTGTCTATGCTTTAGTTTTGAAACTTAAATTACATATACCTGTAATGATTTTCTTATAAACAAGCAATTTTAAGCCAAAACTTTATAACTTATCTATAGAATATCAAATAAAGGGTTATTAGTTCAAATCCTTTCACTCAAGTCTTTTCTATTTGAATTTAAAACACATTATTTTCATAAAATATATTGGGTATATCTAATTTTCAAAGAAAAATACAAAGTAATATGATAGAATTGATTTTTTAATATTATATTGAAAGTTGGCACTCACTTGACAATCTTTCGCCGTAATCTATAAAAAAGGGCATGGACCAGTCATAATCTAAAGAAAAAGATTATTACACAATAATATATTTAAAAAAAAACTAACCATGAATATTTTCAGCCCTCAATTTGTAAGCTAAAATAATATATAAAATTTTTATATTCTATAAACAACTAACGTGAAATTAATTCGATATTTTGCAAACAAATGAAGAGTCTTATTGTGAGTTATAAAATATTTATAACGAAAGTTTTCTTCAAGAAAATCTCGTCAATATGCTCACAGCTTCGCCCGCGTGGAGTTCGGTTATATCGCGTTTCCAAGAGAACTTTACAAAAGTCTGGGATAAAAACTATCCTATGTTCTTTCTCAAAGTCAACTCCATCTCTGTACCAAATTTCATTAAAATCAGTTCAGTGGTTTAGACGTGAAAGCGTAACAGACAGACAGACAGTTACTTTCGCATTTATAATATTAGTAGGGATAAATAATTTAAAGAATTTATGGCGTGTACAAACATATTATGTCTTATACTAACCGACATCTTGATGGGAAGAGAAACAACTGATTGGCAGGGTCATAAATAACTGTAATTATTAAAACTATATAAATGTCAAATAATGTACAATTTAGATAAATACAAATGGCACAATATGTCAAAAATGTCATAATAATTTTTAGTCTGTCATTAAAAAAGTAAAAAAAAAAAACAAAAATCACAGACGTACTTTAAATAAATATAATATGGTTTTATTGCGCAATACATAACATAAGAAACAAATTTTTTATCAAGATAATAAAAGAGAATTTAATAGGTAATAAATTTTCATAGAAATGGCAACAATAAGTTATAAAAACTATTATTTTAGTTGAAACAACTGATATATTGATGCTATTGGCAGAACCTTGACTTTAGACTCAAATTCTTATCTAAAATTACCAATATATACTCTGTCGCCGCGATTTTCTTAAAACACCATTATTTTAATACGCGCATATATTGTATTATAAATTTAAATTAATTATGTACAACAAAACACTTATATTAATTTTGCAATGTTAATGTGCCGTCATAATTTATTTTAAACAAAGCTTAACATTTTTAAAGGTCGTACGTAGGTTCAAATTGTTTTAAATCACAACCTCCGATGTTCGTATTAATATTAATTGTTTCACTGAAGCTTTCAAAGGTTAAACGATAAATTTTAAATACATATTGTTTTACAACTGTACAGTAAAATAATAAAATTGATCATAAAAAACTATTAGTAGAGGTTACTGAAAATACCAAATACTTTTTTTTCAAACAATACTAACTAATAGTTAAAATAATTGAACAGTTAAAATAATAATAATCATATAATACGTCACCAAAATACGAATTTTATCACATTTTAAAACCATTTTACAAATAAACTCAAATAAATTCACATTCCTCGTCGACTATTGCGAAATTCAACAAGGTCGAAACTAGAATCAAATTTTATGCATTCACAATAAAACTTAAGTGAACATAAAATATTATTTTCATAAAGTGAATGTAATAAAGTCATTGTTGTCGTGCGAGACTAAAACTCAATTAATGCTTACGTATTAAACAAAATAATTGCAAAGTTACTAAATTAGCTAAAGCGCCATCTATCTTATAAAATTAAAACCATTATCTCTAATGCCAAATACTAGTATTTACATTCTAATTACCGTTTAAAATTCCGTCTGCACATTTAAGTATTATGAGTATTAATAACATACATAGCTACATACAGTTTCATAAACATAGCATTAGTTTTGCACGGAAAGGTATATCCCACATAGCTTGAAATGTCATGATTCATGAACTTATGATCATCATGAAAATTATTTCTCCAGCCTCATCATCCACATCATGATGATCATCATGAGCATCATGATCACCATGATCATCATGATCATCATCACCACGAACCCGGTATGCCCTTCGACTTCGCCTACGCTGTCAATGAAGACGGCAATGATTACAGCCACAACGCCAAATCAGATGGTGACGTCACTCGCGGGGAGTATAGGATCGCGTTGCCTGACGGACGCACACAGATCGTGAGATATACAGCCGATTGGAAAAACGGATTTAATGCTGAGGTATTTATTTAATAAATTATCTAGTTTTAGGTTAAAATAATAGAAATGGTATCGGGGCTTCCAGAATATTATCACATATTTAAAGAAAAAAAAATGTTTACCAACAATGTTTTTGTTTGGTTTTCGTTTTCGAAGTTACCACATTAGATCATGTTTTTCTCAATATAACAAATAATTTGAATACAACAGAGCCTAGTTTTATAAATATTCCTCTTCATATCATAAATATAATTTTGTAATTACCAATTACATACTAAACTTCATATGGCACTTGTCTTATATAAACAATATCTTGTTAACGTTTTTGCGTGTTCTAAAGACGTCTCCTGAATAAATTATCTTATTTCTAGGTTTCCTACGAAGGTGAAGCGCGGTATCCCGATCAACCCAACGGTTTTCCCGCAGGACCATCTCAAACATACGTCCCACCAAACCAAGGCTATCATTACTAAACAATAAAACCCCAACCTTCTAGATTCTAGAACAATTATGAGAGCGGGAAAACAACGCCATCTAGTTGTTAAAATCCATACTAAAATAAAAATTGTATACGGCTATGGCTATTTAACGAGTATTAAATTTTAAAGTATTGCAAATAAGTTACCTAAATGAGTTACCATTATAATAAGGAATTAAAATTATATCAATTGACTTTGTTGCCACGAAAATCTATTGCAATATAAATAGTATGTAATATTAAAGTAACTTATAAGTAATTGTAAAATACTCATATCCACTGCCTAAGGAATATTTATTGTATAGCAATATCGACTTACCTATTGTTAGAATTAATGACAGATATTTAATAAACACGGAACGAAATTACTTTTTGTATTGACATTTTATAAATAAATATTATGAAAATAAAAATCTTTTTATTATGTCATATAAATTTATTATATCTATGAGTGTACCGTTTTAATATGTCTGGTAAGTTCTTTTGGTAAACTGAACTTCTTATCGCAGAGTAAGCAGACTTCATTCTTTTCTCGATGAGTTCTTTTAATGTGATCGGATCGACGGCCAGATGTTATAAACTTTTTACTGCATATATGACACTCATATGGCCGTACATTATTGTGCAACCTCAAATGTTCTAGCAAGTTCTTCCGATGCAGAAACGCTTCTCCGCATATCTCACAAACTTCATTTCTCCCTTTTGTGTGACTCTGTACATGTTCGGTCAAATTTTTCTTATGATAGAAGCTTTTAAAACATATTTGACAGACAAACTGTCTAACTTTCAAGTGATTTTTATTTATATGGCCCTGTAGTGAAGACTTATTTAATGTTTTGTAGTCACAATTAACACATGAGTAATAAGTTTTCTGACGTCTTCTCTTGTGAGCTTTTATATGTAATTTGTATGTTTTAATTGAACTAAAACTCTTATAACATTCTTCACATCGCTTCTGAATATTAATATCCTTTATTTTATTTTCATTTGAACTAACAGAATTTGGGTAAATTGTTGACCGTTCTTTTACTATTGTGAGCTTGGATTTATTAATATTTAAATAGCATGGTCGTGTCGAAATATTCTGGTCTTTATTTAGTTCCGAATTTAAATCATTAATTAAATTTAGGATAACAGTTTTGATAATTTTATTATTTCTTAATTTTATATACATTTTCATCAATAAATCTGTACATGACTCACAAGCTTGAGACAAAGTTATATCCTGAAACAAAAGTTTGAAAAAGTATGCAACATATAGTTAACGAAATGTTAAGAAAATTAAAAGTATACATATATTCCTTTACAGAAAAAAAGAAGAAAAGTGTGTAAGTTGGAAGAATTTTGGAAATTACAAATGATTTTTAATTATGTTGCATTAACTTTACTTACATATTCAGGAAATAAGTATGTTATCATGTCTTTTAAGTTTAAATTCGCACTGAAGTATTTGTTTTCTATTTCAAAATTAGAGTAAATGTTTGTTGGACAATTATTAACTTGTGCAAAACACAATAAACATGACTCATTCATCTTTGGATTTATAAGAAAATTAATGAACTCCATTCTAACTTAATCTTTTTATTAAAATAAGTTTTAGTAAAACAGATTTTCGCTTCTAGCATCCACTTTCAAAAACAAACTTTTAAGTTTGACAGTTTTAAGTAGATAATTGCACTTTATATTGAAATTATTTCATTCTACGCAGCATTGATTTAGTGTTAATGATTTTAATTGAGAGTTGTTTAACGAATATTGTGATGTAATAACCCAGGACATATTCTAACGAAATTGGATTGTATTTCTATATCATTACACATTCACAGAGTTTGACATATAGATATATATATATATATATATATTGGTGAATGATTAAATCATTCTTCCAAAATATTTTATTAAATATTAACTCTTTCCGGAACATGTCTTTCGTTCTCAAAATTTTACGAACTTATTTATTCAAAGACAGACGTCCAAATAATGTATAAATAGAACTTATATTAAGTTAAATACATCTTAAGATAGTGGAGAACGAGTTACTTTAAATTTCAACAATTCTATACCAAGAATTTATCTGTTTATTTATATAAAAATCTTATAAAATGCAATAATTTTTTTCCTTCCCTTAAGCAGATTCTATTCATTTCTAAATTCGTTCTTGCAAGGTGACAAAATTTAATCTTAGAAAGCCAGTCATTTTGTTATTCTTGAAACTTTAATGTATTGTAATCAATTATATATATTAGAACACAAAGCTAAGTTTTGGTTATAAAGATCAACAAAATTACCTATTATGCCTTTTAAGTACATAAGAAAAAAAGTTAAATCCTCGAATTAAGATATCTACATATCGTCGGGGATAGTGCAAATCCGCGTAACTTGCATTCGATAATTCCTTGTACATATCTATATTGTAAGCAGATTATCAGAAGAAAGTTTAAGCTGAAATATTTTCCATATTAACTATGTATTAAATTTTATAGTATTAAGGAAGATTGAACATTTAACAACTTTGTACAATAAAAAAATATTATGAAATACAAAAGTGCTATTCTATTCAAATGAAATTAATTTGAAAGACTAACTTGTATGTGATGGTTATTTTAAATCATTGATAAATATAAGGGATAATAAATAAAACACATAAATCTTACATAATATAATCCATTACATCTAAGTAATCAAATACAATTTTGGTTACCATTATCAATATATTGTGCTAAATATTATTTCTTTTTAAACTATTACCATAGACAACACTAAATTTTATTTTGGTCTTAAGCGAAATCTATAAATTAATACAACCCCCGATATAAAAAATATTTAATATACTTCACTAACATAGAAAAAAAATAAAAACTATAAAATAAACATATTATATACATTGAGCTGGTGGAAAAATTATTATAAAATGGGGAAGAGCACATAAAAAATATATTTATACATATGTATATTTACAGTTGAATGTATGTTTGTCTTGACAAAGAATTGTGGTACAAGCTCAGTATAATTTTGATGTTATTATAGCAAAATATATGGAAAGTTATTGCATTAATACATAAGGCACTCAATGTTCCAATATAATTACATAGCCTAAAGATATAAGTAAACGCTACATAGAACTATGGGCGACATTTATATGAGTTTTCAAATCGAATTGACTTTGAAGAACTGTCCGGCATAATCGGCAACAGAATTTACCTCCATGGTAATTTTTCATGTGATTCTTCATTATTGTATCTGAATAGAAAGCTTGTCGACAAACAGGGCAATTATGTGGTTTTATACCTATATGCTTTCTAACATGTATGACCAAATTCTTCCTACATTTGAATACTTTATTACAAAACTCACAAATCTCTTTGCAAGGTAAACTGTGAAGTTTTTTGTGGCTCAAAAGGTTATATTCAGTATAATACTGCTTCTCACACATATCGCAACTGTACGGTTTTATCTGTAAATGGACTTTATTCACATGTAGAGAGAGTTCATTTTCGTTTGAACATGCTTTCTCACAAAAACTGCATGTCTGTTCGTCTCTATTTCTGTATGTATTGAATCTGGCTGCGTGGCGTTGCATATGAATGTTATAGTACTTCTGACTTATGAAGTATTTATTACATAGGTGACATTCTTTATATCGGTGGCATTTTTGGTGTATTTTCATTTTAGTAGCACTTTCAAAGGATCTACCGCAGATTTTGCATGTCATATAGTTCTGTGATTGCAATAAATGCATCATTTTCTTGTGCTCGAATAGATGGAACTTTGATTTGAATTGGTTGTAACATAAATCACATTCAATCGTCCGATTAATGTGTTTCAAAGCATGTTTCTTGAGGAAATAATCCGATATGAAGTTTTTATTACAAAACGGGCAAGTGTAACGTATTTTTGGCGAGCGTTTTTTAGTTTTCACTCTCTTCTTAAAAGTCAAGAATTCGCTGCAAACATCTAAACTATCTTCATCATTCTTCATTTGAAATCCATTGAACACTTTCTTGCTGTATGTCTTAGTGACATTTTTGAGTTGATCTTCTATATTGCTCATAACTATAGAATCCTCTTTAAAATCCGATTCCGAGCCACTCTCGCTGTTAACTCGGAACTCATCTTCTAAAACCTCAACTTTGTAATCTGATTCATCTGAATCATCTATATCTACATCTTTTATAGATGGTAGTATCAGTTCTTGAGATATCTCAACCATAATATTACTTTCCGGTTCATCTATATTAAGATTATCCAACATAAGCGTTATCGAAGTATTCAATCTATTCCGTACATATTGTACTTTGCTTATAAATATATATGTGTTTAAAGCATGATTGACACAATTGTCGCAGATTTTATTACCCATGTAGCTATCAAGTTGAATCTGAAACAGATTATCATACAATTAATAAAACAAATTACTATAGAAATAAGAAAATCATTACATATCCCTACTAATATTATAAATGCAAAAGTAACTCTGTCTGTCTGTTACATTTTCACGCCTAAACGACTGATTTTAATGAAATTTGCTACAGATATAGAGTTGACTTTGAGAAAGAACATAGGATAGTTTTTATCTCAAACTTTTGAAAGGTTCTCTTGCAAACGCGATATAACCGAACTCCACGAGGGCGAAGCTGCAGGCGGAAGGCTAGTATACATATATATTTCGATTTTAATATTGATATGCAAAATATATACTGTTTGAACAGATATAGTAATGAATTGGTGGAGTAGAAATGATTTTTCATATTTTGTATTAACTTTGTGTTACTTTGCTTTGTGGTTTAATAAATATGATACAATATCTGGAAATCACATAAGTTTTGAATATGAGTGTGATACTTACACCAGGAATGGTAGCTGTTAATACATTCTGAATAGTCAAATCCCTACTTAAAGCAGGGTAGCCGCCATGTAAATGTACCATTTCCGTCAACTCTACCATTTTCAAACCTTTATCCATACAAATAGCACAAAAGCTACTTATATTCCCTTCAATTAAATGTTCAAACATATCTTTGAACTTGTGTTTCTCTATGTGTTGGTAATGATCCGATAATGTATCAGTACTGATCCCACAATCATTGCATTTGTATGAAGATTCATTATTATCCAAATTACTAATCTGTCTGTGAGATTTTAAATGTTTCTTCAAATGGCATCTTTTAACAAACGACTTCCCACATAACTTACAGTTATACCACATAGATTTGGGATGTATTTTCTCATGATTTAATAGTGATTCTGCCGTCGGTAAAACCTGCCAACATTTCTGGCATTCCAACTCGGTAATGTAATTATCTTCTATAGTAACGGTATCGGTGTTGATAATATTTATTATTGGTTCAGCGTAATTCATTACTTCGTTGTGTTCTGTATACAAAATATTACAGTTGGGATTCAATTTCGGTTTTCCTCTTCGTTTTACAGGTTCAACCGGATCGAGTTTCTCAAATTTATCATACATATCTTCGAAACAGTTTCGTAACGATCTTTCCGATCTTTCACACTGCTGGGCGAAGAGGTAGCAATTCATTGTCCGATTCAGACAATCTGAACATATTTTGTTTGGAAAATTCTTATCATCGGTCACCTGAAATTTACAAATTATTAAATGCAATGAATAAAATTAATTTATATAAGTATATTAAGAATATTTATAACTTGTAATGACAACACATTAATATCTATATATCTAATACTTAATTTATTTCAATTAACTTATTAAAGTAACATTAACTGTACAGACTCAAACATAATGAATTTAGATATAAAATACAATACTTATGTTCAAAATCATTTTCATTTTAGGATTTTAATAATATTTATATATTGAAAACTATTAAATAATTAGAAACTGTTCTATATAAATCTTTTTAATGCATGTTAATAAACTGTTAATGGTGATAAGTTTTTAGTATTTATCATTACTTATATAATACATGTTATGGTATAAGAAAAACTAACAAACTAATATTAGTAGTGACCTAATAATATATAACCTGAAAATCGGTATTATACCTAACTATTAAGTAATTACTACTTTTTGAGTTTCATATATATGATAATAATTAAATTTATCATAAAAAATGTATGTCGATTATCGTTTTAATGAGGTTAGACTTATGTATATATGTTTTTATTAATTTACAAACCTTGAATGGATGGAAGCTTGCTACCATATCGCGTATAGTGACCTCGTGTAGAGCTCCATTTACGGCTATAACGAGAATTTCATCCAATTCAGATAGATTAGTAGTGACGCTAAGACAATACCTGCAAACTTTTAACCTTAATGTCCCTTCTAGAAGAAATTTTACAGCGTTCTTGGTCGTTAATGGTACTTTTTTATCAGCAGAATTCACGGTAACACTCTGATTGTTTGATTTAACATTATTTACTCTAGAATACGTTTTTATTCCTTTAAATTTATCGAATGTTGCTTCCATCTCTGTTATCTGAATATACAAATATCCAAAGAATCTGGCGGAGAAGAGCACAGTGAAAGTTATAGTTAATATTGAATACACGGAACATACAAAATAGAGATTTTTATAACATTTTTTCTATAATAAACGCTTCTTGACAGCTTCAAAGCGCCACAGATAATTAACTGCAAAAAAACCGCCAACTGTAAATCATGTCTCCACAGAATATAAAAAAAATGGCTTGTGTGGTGTGGATGCAGTAGAAAAACTTTTATGAGTGAAAATTAAATTATTTGTTATATCTACTGTATTTCTTAGTGTCTATTAAAATGTTTTTAATTTACTGCATCCAATTTTCTATATAGAACCGAATCCAAACTTATTTTTATATATTGCATTCAAAAATAAGAATATAATTATTTACAATATATTAATAAATTTTTTGTTCATTCGTTTAGTAAAATAAGAAAATCTTTGTATTTTTTACATATATATCTGTAAAGGATTCGTTTAGCTTTTGAAGAAATATAACCAAAATAACATGCTTAGTTCTGTATTCAGAATTGATCAGTTTTTATATTTCACATAGTTTTAGAAATTGCATCTTTACTATATCTAAATAAAATGTTTATATGTATTACGGAAGTATCGGTAAAAATTAAAATACTAAATTCTTTAAAAAAATCTAACAATGTCTCGTGAACTTATCTTTATAAATCATATTAAACAGTACTTTATATAAAAACTGCATTTATTTAAGCAGCAGCAGTGTCTCATAAGACTTAAAAGGACATTTTAATACAATACATTACGAAAAATGTAAAAATAAAGCTTTATTTAAGTCTATTAACTATGTTAAAAAAATTCAAAGATGGATCTCAGTAACCAACGTAGCTGTATTTTTTTATTAAAAAAACGATATCAATAATGTAAAACCTTTTTCACTTGACCTCTAATTCATCTTAATAAAAAAAAGCAATAATAGATTATACAACTCATAGTATTTTGTATGTGGGTACATATGAGGTCAAATACGGCCTTGGGTTACATAACGCACGTAAACTTTATCGACAATACATCGCATACAAATAGCTTACCCACTTTTCCGTCGGTCAATAATCAGTGCTCAGTTATCATTGCAATAAAGTGTTGTGTGTAACGAAATATTAATTTTAAATGTGTTTAAACAATTATTTGAAGCATTTATTACGATCGCCATCAACTTAAAACGAACTCTTTTAGCTAGATCATTTAGTGTAAAAATGTAAGTAGTAGAATTTGTTATATTTTATAAGTCAATATAATTTGTTTTAAATAAACTTCATATTAAAGCTTATTATTGTTTTTGCTAACATTAAATTCTATTCATATTATACATCTAAGACGAATTTTTTATACTTTATTACATATTAAAAGTTATATATTTTATTAAACGTTGTAAATTATGTCATAATATATTATATTAAAAAATATTAAACACTTCAATGTGTTTTTTAATGCTAAAGTTTTTTGCAAATCAAAGAAAGTATGGTGAAATAATAGTAAATTATTACCCCTCGAGAATAAATGGTCATTTTAACGTTTGAAAATTATTTCAAACGTTAAAATTACCATTTATTTTTAAATTTTATGTGGATATGTATATAATCTGTGTTTCTTTTAAATCTTCTTCTTCTATATATTATGTAAAAATGGATTGCTGTTCCTTAGTCTCGCTAAAACTTGAGAACGGCTGAACCGATTTGGCTAATTTTAGTCTTGAAATACTCCTGGAAGTCCAGGGAAGGTTTAAAAGGTGAGAAAAATTGGAATTATTGCCGGGAAAATCCTAAAAACAGCCCTTTTCTATTTCCCATACAAACTTTTTTTTTGACATTAGATTTGACAAATAACTAATATGTCAATCATGCTGTTCTATTGAAACAGGAGAAACCTGATTATTTATGGCCTCTAAGACGGAATAGAGTTCGCCTGGTCAGCTATACCTTCATATATTACTCTTGACCAAACTAACGCGGACGAAGTCGCGGGCAAAAACTAGTCTTAAATAAAATTAAAATAATTATTAGTTTAATTAGAGAACATTATCTATATTAAACATTCTATTAATATTTTTTTAGATGCTGTTCCTACTACTTATTGGTTTCTTGACCGTGACATCAGCTGATAAAAGATGTCGCGGGGTGTACATAGACGATAGATATTACGATTTGGATATTGTTAAGGAAGGAATAAACAAATTACACGATTTAGTCATCAATAGGCAAGAAAACGCTGTTTACTTTACATTCGAGGATCTAACAGAAGTACCGTCTAGACTTTTAGGTCATTTAGATTTGAATACGAATAAAGCAACCGTTATACACGGAATTCGAAACGCTACCGCCATAGCTATAGATCAATTCTATAATAAAGTATACGTAGGCGGTTCAGATGGTCTATTCAAGATAAACGATAAGAAAGTTCCAGAAAGACTGCCAATACAAGACGATATAAAACACATGCATTATAATAACGGATTATACTTCACTAACAACGAAGGAAGAGCATTCAAATTTGAAGATGGCTTCGCGTCACCAGTACCTGAATTAAGAGATTTAGAAGTCGAGCAATTCATATTTGACAATGATAATAATATATTTTTCATACGCGGTAAGAAATTATTTACTGTCAAATTGGGAACAAGAGCTGTCAATAGTTACGAAAGACATGAAGCGAAGGCCATAGCAACGGATATATATAACAAGGCCTATTTGTGTGCTAGTGACGGGCTGTATATGTATAATAAATATAAATTTATTTTCGATAAAAAAGGTAATTTACCGAATATTAAAGCTCTGTCATTCGATAAAGAGAATAATCCCATTTATGCTGTCTCTGATTTGATTGTCAAACTAAGACTAAGTTCGATTGGTTGTTTTGAAGATTAAATGTATTATAGATAATTAAAATAAAGTTAATTTATAAAGTTAGTATAATATTAGTAAAATTCAAATATAGATGGGTTAAAATTAAGAAAACTGTATAATTATGTAAAAAAGTGGAATGTAATTTAATTCTCATTACAACTTCACCAAAAAGGTTTTCAAATATAAGTTTAAATAAAGTACTGGTGATAAATAAATATAGTTTCTTTTTTTCATTCACGTTAAATGGTTTAGCTGTCAATTCTAAAAGGAATTAAATGGATATTATGTTCAATATATTGAAAGGTATACGTATTAGTGTCTGTGCTATGAAATATATTTTTTTATTTATTACATTTTGCGTTAATACTTTCCAGTATGCTTAAGCATTAAAAAGTTTCCTTTACCGACTGTTGAAAATGTTAAAAAAAAAGTATTATTACGTCTTAACTCTGCCGGCGTTGTTCTTTATGCATGTATTTTTATCTAATTTGCTATTGATTCGTCCTCCACATTTACCTAATCCGGAAAGTGTAGCGCTTTTGTAAGTATAATACAGAAATAACATTGTAATTTAGAATTAAATGTATTAAAATTGTTTTATCTATTATCGAGGTCGTATTTACTAGAAAATTAAAGTAATATTACATTGTTTTTTAGTTAACCATGCAATAAAATCTCTTTAAATACCATTCGAGTATACTTTCCTAGGAAACTTTAACGTAGAGAGATTTAAACTGACCAATTATATTTAACACAACTAAACTCATTTATTTTATTTTGAAATAGAGATTTTTTCCGTCATAAAATATAATTATAAAAATATTAATTCACAACTATAATAAACTGAACTCTGCCTAAATATATTTAGATTTTGTTTATAATATACATAAAATAATTAAATATTTCTTGACATTTAATATTTTTTTCAGTACACCCAGAAAATATAATATTGTAACCGGATGTCACTTTCCGAACGTAAGTCCATTTACAAAAGTCGCTATGACATATGACGAAAAAATGCCAAAAGTTGTATGCTACGGCCAAGACTGGGTTGTGTGCAATGTGAGTGAAAAAAATTGTAAAACTTACGGTTCTTATTATTATTATTATTATTTTGGGAAATAAACAGTATTAAACAATCAATCAAAATAATACATACAAAAATATATCAACCAAAAAGCTTCCATCGATTACAATTTCATTTGGAGCAAAATAATAATATGATCAATGAGAGTTGAGAAAATTATTAAAAAAAAGCATGAAATAAAAAAAAAAGCATGCAAGCATTATATTATAGAAGTTAATGATTATATTACACACAATATGCTATCACACTAATAAAATACCGTCGAGCAATTTGTGGACCTAATCCTTGAGATAGGCTCTAAAAAACTTTACTGATCTTTCCTTGTATTAATAGGCAAATTTAACAAGGAAGTATTATAGGCTTTAATAATCTACCATAAGGTTAAAAGTCATTATATATAATAGAAAGGGGCCGTTCAAGTATTACGTAAGCACTATGGAGGGGCGGGTTTCCTTGCTTTGCTAATTTTGGATGCCATGGGGGGTAAGGAGTTTAGGTGATGATTACGTCACCGGTAGTTATTTACTTTTTAATCGTCACATCGAGAAGATGCAAAATAAATATAATTATAATTTTTTTCTGGAGTTATATTAAAAAAAAAACAATACAGTAATTGAAAATGTTTACGTAAGTATGGGGGTAAGAGCGTTGCTTACTTTTGGTGACAAGTGGGATGGGGTAAATATTTGTAATAAATCTGCTTACGTAATACTTGAACGGCCCCAAAGGGTAATTAGGATACATTCTTTTAAAGAAAGCCTTTTATACTACCTTCGTTACGATATCTCACTAAGTTTGTCACATGGAATCACGTGAATTGCTTTCCATCTTTTGACTACAATATAGCTTATTAGACCATTTAGATTAATTAGTACTCCTAATAAGATTGCCCTGTTATATTAGTCTATTTGCTTACCTACTTTAGGGAACAGCCAACGATGAGAAACTTGAAAAAGACCATTACTTCTCGAGTAGCTATTTTTAAACCTCTTTTTTGACGTTGAAGACATAGCTTTCCTTTGTAAGGCTACTTAATGTCCTATAACACCTATTTATTTGAATTGTCAAAATCCCTACTAATATTATAAATGCGAAAGTAACTCTTATCTGTCTGTCTGTCTGTTACGCTTTACGCTTAAACCACTGAACTGATTTTAATGAAATTTGGTACAGACAGAGTTGACCTTGAGGAAGAACATAGGATAGTTTTTATCCCAGACTTTTGAAAGGTTCTCTTGGAAACGCGATATAACCGAACTCCACGCGGGCGAAGCTGTAGGCGGAAAGCTAGTTAATTATAATTCTGACGGAGCGTAATTTTCGTTGTATTTCAACATATATATTTCCCATTCAAGATGTCTGAATGTAGAGTACATGAAAGTATACTGCAAAGCATGAAGAAGGTTGTGTGCCACTATCGAGATATAATATATGTGAATGATGACAAATATGAAATTGCTGATCCAATAACACTTTATGGTGACGAAGTTTATAAACTGAATAGAAGCGATGGATTTAAAGTGTCTTGTAGTGGAGTTTCGAAAGAATGGTGAGATATTAGAACATTTCAATGTCTTATCTGGGAGTTTTTGTTTTCTTTTTGGCGTGATTAATTTAAATGAGACATTTCTTTAAATTGTTTTTTATCTTTTTATTTGGTAAACATTGAATAGGTATCATATATTCGATAAAAGATGGTATGGCTACAAAGCGGGCTTCAGACCAATAAAAGCTATGGAATCTGATGAGAATACAATAAACGTTCTTATTGTGGGTTTCGATTCAACTTCCCATAACGGTATTATTAGGAAGATGCCTAAGACTTATAAATATTTGAAGAATGAAATGGATGCTGTTATACTTAATGGGTAAGGAAACTATTGGTCAAAACTATATACACTTATATTAAAAGGACTTAATCTATCCTATGGCCTGTGTACCTTTGGCAGCCTCAGATTATTTATTTCGGTGTTATTAAAAGTATTTGAAAGTTTCGGTTAACAATAAGGCATGTAAAAACAATTTTTTTTTTTAATAAAATCCTATCATAAGTTCAGTCAAAGAATTAACTACCTATTAAATGCTATCAGGTTATGAAGCAAAAGGACACAATTGCCTTTAGATTTAATAAAAAAATAAACCAAAATATAGTTACTCGTCTTCAAAGCTGTTGACTCCAGAAAAATATTTTCACTTTTCTTGTCTATTCATTGATGCGTGTTAAACTCCTTTTTTTAAAGGTATTCCACTCTCATCAATGGACTAGGAAACTTCCATGAAACCAAATAACTTTTCCCGAATTTAAAAGAATTTTTTTCTATATCAGTTACAATATAGTTGGAGACGGTACTCCAGACGCGTTGTTCCCAATACTATCAGGGATGAATGATTTACAGCATCCGCCAGCTAAAAGACGATACACAAATGACGTGTTTCTAGAGATTGAACCATTTATATTCCATAAGGCAAAGATTAACGGGTATATTAATTTTATTTACATCTCGTCTGCTTGTAGTCACGGTTGCTGAAAAGTAAAAAAAATCTCGGGAGTATTTAGCTTTTTACAAGTAAACCTCGTAGTACATGTATACGAAAAATATTAGTTTCATATGAATAAAAGTCGAGAAAGTCTTAAAACTCATTAATTTTATTTGGGTAGTTTTGTCATTAAAGTTAGCTGTACCTGTATAGAGCAATTTTCATTGGAATGGAGTTGATTAGTCTATATAAATGTCACTTTAAGAAAATTTTAATGGTAGACCTCAATAAAGAATAAAACGTAATCTGTTTCTCTGTAAAAAGTGATATTGTATACTTGACAAATATTGACATTGTCCATACCAATAAATTTTCTAAAAGCACAATATTTAATACCCATACCTATATATTTGAAGCTTCTATATAAAATATTCCTTCAATCAGTTATCAAACAGCGTATTTGGAAGATATGCCGTGGTTGGGTACCTTTCAATACAGATACAATGGATTCCTCAAACAACCGGCTGATCATTACCTTAGATCATTATTAACAGAGGAAACTAAGAATGGAGTAAAGTGGCAATCTGGTATATTGAATAGATATTGCTTGGGAGATAAGCCACAATACTTATTCCTATTGGATCTTACCAGACAAGTACCTAATATCTATTTGGCACCTACTTTTCCCTCTCGTATAGTGCGTTTGGTTTAAGCTGAGCTTTGCATTTGTGTGAGTGCACACGAATAGTATAGGTGTGATGTGAAATTTTTGAATGAAACATTTTTTTCTAGTTTTAAACCGGTTTATTCTGCTTTTACTCCGCCCCGCATATTCCTCACTTCACCCTTTGTACTGGTAGCAAAATCAAATGTTAAAATCGTAATGTCAATTGAAGAAGAATTTGTATGGTTTTTTCAAAATTTTTATTAATTAATGTTTTTTTCCATAATATTTCCAGCTGGCCTTTTACAAGTTTTGCTTATTTTATTTTTAATCTAGAATAGCTCTCGCACTTATGTTATGTATCCATTTAAAATATAAAATTTAATTCTTAAAGTTTTTTGTCTAACTCTACTTTTACTTTCACTCACACAAATGCAAAGCTCAGCTTAAGTCTAACGGAGTATACTATTGAATTTATAACTCAATATTATATAACAAGTTAAATTTCTTGTGGACCAAATAAATTACAATGAATCCTAGAACAGTGCATCAATTTTTTTCAGTTTATGAAATTAAAAACAAAGCGTTTCTGTTTCACATTTATGGCCGACATAAGTCACGACGATTTCAATCTTATATCCACTGCTGAAGATGATTTTGTGGACTTTTTGAAATACGTGAAGACAAATCTGTTGGAAGATACATTAGTTATTGTTATGGGAGATCATGGGCAGAGGTTAGGAACTGTTTTTGCTGTCGAAACCTCTCATCATTCAATGTATTCATATGCGTGTGTCGGGTCCATCGTTGTAGTGACAGGAGCTTCAACAGTGACTGGGACTTGCGACCCAGGTGTAGGTTTAAGGGTCTATCTAACGCGTTAAACGCTCACCTCCACTATCCAAGCTCCTCTCTCTACCTAACCCATAAAAGAACCTGAAAATATGTTCCCTGCTTTAACTTAAAAACTACATAAAGTTTCTACTTTAGTAAAAAACATCTTTTACATATTATTTATCAGATTTGGTCCAATACGAGAGACATTTGAAGGAAGAATCGAAGAAAGGATGGCGTTTATGTCGATAATACTGCCAGAGAAATTGAAAAGAAATCGCAAAAACGCTTTGAATTATTTGAAAAAGAACGCGGATGTTCTAACAACGCCATTCGACATACACACGACCATACTAGACGCGATGGGTTTGAAACAATATGCTAGTGATTATGTGGCAAGAAACTCTTTAATGAAGAGAGGCTTGAGTCTATTGGAACCGGTAATAAAAATATTTAATTTAATATTACTCTATTAATCAGTTTCTCTATAACAAATTTATGTAATTCTCGATGATTTTTTGGCAGACACAGAAATTGTTGTTTAAAAGCTGAAACTATTCTAACCTATAGTCATATTTGTAACCTATCAAAAATAATAATTGATGTGACCAAGCTATATGCTATACATTTGTACTAGTTTCTGCCTATGACTTTGTCCGCGTGGACTTTGAAATTAGGATCTAAGAGGAATATCTAATATATAAAATTCTCGTGTCACGGTGTTCGAACTTGAACTCCTCCGAAACGGCTCGAACGATTTTCGTGATCCTTATCGAGGATACTAACCAGGGGGGAGAATCGGCCAACATCTATTTTTCATCCCCCTAAATGTTAAGGGTAGTCCACCCCAAAATTTTTGTTTTTATTTTTTAGGCAAAATTTTTTGTTTTTATTTTTTTATGACACAGCCTACAAAAATACATACAACTCTAAATTTTCACCCCTCTGAGATCAACCCTTATTTTTTATTGAGGCAGTACGAGGTCTGCCGGGTCAGCTAGTAAAATTATAATATTGTGGTAACAAGTAGCAAAATGTTACGTGATTTAATACGCAATACAACTATTATTAAATTATAAATTTCGGTGTAAATTATAGCCTATATCTTATTAATAATCCCGTAAAGTTATATCAAAATCAGTTTATTAGTTTTTGCTTGAAACAGCAACAAAACATTGATAAATACATCTCGTCTGCCCGTGATCACGGTAGTTGCAAAGTAACCGAAACTTCGGGAGTATGTAGTTAAAAATAATTATAAATATATATAATATTCGTTTTATTTCAAACGAGTTTTTGTCCGCGACTTCGTCTGCTTTAATTTCTAAATTAAAAATTTATATTTGATATGGCGAACTCTGTTCCTTCTTAAAGGCAGTGAATAAAAAGATTTTGGGTTTTATATTATTTTCGCGATCGCATTAAAATTATCCTATGTCGTTTCCATTGTTCTGAGCTCCGTCCCCGCCAATTTTTTGCCGAATCCATACAGTCGTTCTTGAGTTATAAATAGTGCAACTAACACGACTTTCTTTTATCTTCTTCTTCTATCTGGCAATTTCCCAGCTTTAGCCATTGTCTGCCTTACATGTTGTGAATAGTTTTGGCTAATTGTTTTTACGACCGGCCGTCTGCCTGACATCAATCCTCTTTTGGGTATGCATTTATCAGTGATGTCTAAATACTCTTAGAAAGTACATATGATTCGGAAAAATCACATTGGTACTTGCCAGGATCGAACCCGCGCTCTCATGCATGAGAGGGGGGTCTTTTAACCACTAGGCCACCACTGACTTTTTCACTAACACGGTTTTCTTCTATATATAAATACTAGAAGACCCGGCGAACTTCGTATCGCTCTATAATCAAGAAATATCTGTCACGTTTTTTATTTATATTTTTATTAAAGCCATAAATCTCCGTGTTTTGAAGTACGACAGACTGATTGACATATTAGTTAGTTGCCAAATCTATGTCAAAAAAAACCATTTGTATCAACAACTACTAATAAATTAAAAATTTATGAAAAAAACATTGTCCAGCGGACAAAATTGTGAATCTAAACCATTGCCAGATCCCCTAGAACACACACAAAAAATTTCATCTAAATCGGTCCAGTCGTTTGAGAGAAGTTCAGTGACATACACGCACACAGAAGAATTATATATATAAAGATTTCTTTTATATATATCCTTATAAATGTCAGATCTCAGTGTTACGCACATGCGCCGATGCTGATATACTGCCTTACTGGTGTGCGTGTATGAATAGTGATTGGAAGGACGTTCCCAATAACGATACAAAATTCGAAGAGGCCGGGGCAGCTCTACTCTCATATGTGAACAGAGCTATCTACGATCTAAGGTTTGTACAACATTCTTGGGCCATAGAATCAACTCAAATAACTTTATTCGATATAGAAGCATTACACTTCCTTATTGATGGTCACTTGAGACACTACCACAAGTTCGGAAAAGAAAATACCCTGACCTGAGAAGAACCGGCGAAAGAAACTCAGAGGGTTTTTTTATATTTGTCTCATATATTATATAAACAATATCTTAGGCCATAGAATCAACTATTTTGGAGTATTTTTTAAGCTTTATATAGTGAATTTTAAAATATTAATCTATGTCCAAAAAAGAGTGTCAAAAATGCACAAAAAATCCTCTTACTAACATGATTTTATAAGCTTGAGTCGTATGTATGTATGTAATGGAATCTTTGAGCTTAATTTTCACCTGTTTCTAGAAGTTTGAGTAATTTGAAACTTTGCATACGTGTCAAAGATATTGCAATAATTTGATAACAGTTTTCCATTATTCTTAATATTATCTAGAATTAATGAATTCTTTTATAGATCCTGTATAAAATGTAGAATGATTGTAACATTCAATATTAATCACCCCACGCTTTTTACTCTGAATAAAAATAACTTCCTAGCTACAAAAGCGTGTTTATTTATTTGTTTTAAACTATTACTTATTTGTATTCTTTAAAATTTTTAAAGTAATATTTTCCAAATATTGATCCCAGACATCTATGCGCTGAAAGAGAATTGAAATTAATAAGATGGGTCTTGATTAATGATAAAAAAGACATCGAAACCGATAAAAAGATTATTAATTACCAGGCAGTGGTGAGTAAGCGTTTGTCAATAAAAGTTTTTTTTGGCTATAAAAAGAATTCAATAGTACTTAATTTGCCTAAAACATGACTTTTTATACCTATTTCTACGTGGCACTTTCAAACTTGCCAAAAAAACTTTCAATTTTATGAATCTTTATTAGCTGTCGTCTTCGGAAAGGTAAAATAATAAGTCTTTTACAAATGCAATATTATATACATTTTCTTCTTAGCTTCATAAAATGATATAATTCTTATTCTTCCTTCACCAATAATTCTTCTTCAAGCATAAAAAATATTCTTGGACCATACAAAAGATTCTTCTAGATCCATACAAAAAACAATTCTTCTGCATACATGAGAATAAATATATGATTATTCTTCTTTTTCTATACAAATATTTAGATTATAACGAAACCAGGGCATGGTGTCTTTGAAGGTATGATGGAATATGACATTGAGAAGAAATTGTTCGAAGTAAAAAATGATAAAGATGTTTCTAGAATATCCGCGTATGTAACTTCATGAAACTTACTACTAGTTTATAGTAGGATATTTTGAAATTTTTCCATCCTTCTTAGTCTAGAATAGAATAGAAGCAGAATAGTCTTCTGCTAAACGGATTGTGATGATGTTTTACGATGATTTAACTTCTTTTAGAAGAATTAGAATAAATAGCACTATAAGTAGTTGTAGTTACCGTATTTTTTTGGCATTCTAAATATTTTTAGATTCGTCTTGTAATAGAAATTGAAGCTTAGAAATTTCGTATGATTTTCTAATTAGTTAGTTAGTTTAAAATCAAATTCTTTACAGTTACGGCAAAGAACCCGCCTGTATAAGTGAGCTATATCCACACTTGAACAAATATTGTTACTGCAAATATTTATTGTAAGGATAATAATGAAGAAACGAATCTACTAAATGTTCTTAGTTTACAATAAAATTAAAGTTTTCTTGCTCCAATAGGAAAAACAATGTATTTTTTATAGAAGTCTAGCAAAAGTAATTTTTGATCTTCTGATTGTCTCAGTTATTTATATATATTTATATATTGCTTTCTTTTCCGATGAATTGTATTTATTTTTATAATTTTAATCTATTTCTGTCTAACATATATGTAGGCCCAATTACTTTTTCGGGCCGATTTCTCATATCTATTAGCAAGTAAGGAAATCTCTCGTGTACTAAAAATAAATAAGTTATATCAATGATTCTTGGGGTTCACGAAAGATTTACCACAATTTAGAAATTGGACTCTATTGCCAAAGACTTACGGCTTACTATGAGTTTGTGGAACGTGAAAAAAACTTACGCTTCAAAAAATTTGCCAAATCTTCTCACATTCACAGATTATCAGTTTGTTAATATTAAAAGTACAACATTTACAGTAACTCTTATTGTTTTTACACTAATCTTTATTTACAATTACACAAGCTCTGTAATTTTCAATAAATTCTGTAACACAATATTGGACACAATCACATATGTTTTTCTTGATCATTATAACTTAATCTTATTATCTAATGTTACTAGTAATATTAATTTTGTTTGAATTTGTAACACAATAAAAAAATGTTTTAAGTACAAAATATTTTATTCTTACAAAACATTCCTAATAATACTCAAAGGTACAATAACAGTCTGACCGATCTTTGTTGAGCTCTGCGGGCGGTGAGTTAGTTGTAAGCGGGGGGTCCGTATGAAGTGGTCGGTTGGTATTGACGGTTGCCATGGAAACCGGTTAAAGAACCGGTAAAATCTGGTACATTGTAGTTGTAACCTGAAAATGAGAGTATTAATTATGAATTATAGAGACAAAACCTCTCATCATTCAATGTATTCACGGTGCGTGTGTCGGGTCCATCGTTGTAGTGAGAGGAGCTTCAACAGTGACTGGGACTTGTGACCCAGGTGTAGGTTTAATATATATAGAGAGACGAAACCTCTCATCATTCAATGTATTCACGGTGCGTGTGTCGGGTCCATCGTTGTAGTGAGAGGAGCTTCAACAGTGACTGGGACTTGTGACCCAGGTGTAGGTTTAATATATATAGAGAGACGAAACCTCTCATCATTCAATGTATTCACGGTGCGTGTGTCGGGTCCATCGTTGTAGTGAGAGGAGCTTCAACAGTGACTGGGACTTGTGACCCAGGTGTAGGTTTAATATATATAGAGAGACGAAACCTCTCATCATTCAATGTATTCACGGTGCGTGTGTCGGGTCCATCGTTGTAGTGAGAGGAGCTTCAACAGTGACTGGGACTTGTGACCCAGGTGTAGGTTTAATATATATAGAGAGACGAAACCTCTCATCATTCAATGTATTCACGGTGCGTGTGTCGGGTCCATCGTTGTAGTGAGAGGAGCTTCAACAGTGACTGGGACTTGTGACCCAGGTGTAGGTTTAATATATATAGAGAGACGAAACCTCTCATCATTCAATGTATTCACGGTGCGTGTGTCGGGTCCATCGTTGTAGTGAGAGGAGCTTCAACAGTGACTGGGACTTGTGACCCAGGTGTAGGTTTAATATATATAGAGAGACGAAACCTCTCATCATTCAATGTATTCACGGTGCGTGTGTCGGGTCCATCGTTGTAGTGAGAGGAGCTTCAACAGTACCTGGGACTTGTGACCCAGGTGTAGGTTTAAGGGACTATATAACGCGTTAAACGCTCACCTCCACCGTCCAAGCTCCTCTCTCTACCAAACCAAATATCTTACCCTGATTTGTTTGTTCTGGATATGTTGCTTGGCCCTCGTATTTAACGTCCGCGTGGAAGCCAGTCTTCCAATCCGCGTGGTATGTCACTACAACATATATATACATGATACATAATAACAAGAATATATAAAAATGTTTTGTGTTATGAAGAAAAATCAACTATATTTTTTATTAATATAACAATAGTGTAGTAATAACGATAGATACTTTTCGATCTTTAAATAATAAAAATGGAAACTTTATTTGGTTAAAGCATGAAGTATTATAAAAAAGACTAAATACTTAATCCGAAAAATAAATAGAAATAAAAAACACTATCAAATTTAATGTTCTTTTGGCATGAAATGCAAAATAATACACAATTATATTTCACATAATCCTATTACCAAAAGGACTACGATATGTGGTTTATAAACTCTATTAGTTTTTAAGCCCCATTAGACTTATCTAAAGGGTAATTTCCTCACCAATTTGCGTTCTTCCATCAGGCAATTGTACCCTATACTCTCCTCTCACCACATGACCGTCTGAAGACTCCCTTCTGTCATAATCGTTCCCAGATTTCGCGTCTTTCACTGAGTAACCAAATTCGTAAGACTTGGGCTGGAATGGGCAAACAGTTATCTTATTCAATAAGTTTAGTTCTATCTTTTAATGTATTTTATGAATTAAAATTCTAATTGAGGATCGCTAGCAGGTTTGTAACCTATTGACAATAGGTGGCAGTTCACATAATATAAACGTTTACTAAGTTTTGTCTAAATACACAGATTTGTGAATGATTTGACAGTTGCATAGACTGAAACATTTTTATTGAAAATAAATATGTGGCTATTTTTGTTATGGAATCCAAATTTTATGTATGTTCATTCCTATTAATTTTTATTCAACACGCTTTCCACCCGCAGCTTCGCCCGCGTGGAGTTCGGTTATATCGCGTTTCCAAGAGAACCTTTCACATGTCTGGGATAAAAACTATCCTATGTTCTTTCTCAAGGTCAACTCTATGTCTGTACCAAATTTCATTAAAATCAGTTCAGTGGTTTAGACGTGAAAGCGTAACAGACAGACAGACAGACAGAGTTACTTTCTCATTTATAATATTACTAGAAGACCTGGCGAACTTCGTATCGCCCTATAATCAAGAAATATCTATTACGTTTTTTTATTTATATTTTTGGAGTTTCTCTGTAAGCCATAAATCTCCGTGTTTTGAAGTGCGACAGAATGATTGTCATATTAGTTAGTTGTCAAATGTAATGTCAAAAACAACGTTTGTATGGGAAATAGAAAAGGGCTGTTTTTATGGTTTTCTCAGTAATGAATCAATTTTTTTCAGCTTTTATACCTTCCCTGAACCTCCATAAACATTTCAAGACTAAGATAAGATAAATCCGTTCAGCCGTTCTCGAGTTTTAGCGAGACTAAGGAACAGCAATCCATTTTTATATATATAGAAGATTAGGGATGTAGTCCATGCCACATTGAATACGAATAATATTCACCAAGATTCAATACTTATTATACTAATATAAACACTACGATAACCTTTTAAGATCATTTGGAACAAAAATGAATGGAGTCTTCATGTTATATAAAAAATAAGTAATAATTTTTCACAAATACGACATTTTTATATCAAAAAAATAAAATTTACAAAATGTTTACATAATTTAATTTATTATTGATAAAAATACAAATATTTATAAACATTAAAATTTTTGATAAATGAATAGTTTTTTTATATAAATAAATCTACTCTATTTATTTAAAACAATTTAAATGTATGTATTAAATTTAGTTTCGTCTCATCATTTACAGAGATCACATCTTAACTCAGTAATAGGTAAGAATAATTTAATATACAAAATCGTAAGCGAATTTACATATATATAACTATCTTTCTATTTAGTAATAAATACAGAAGAAATATATTCTTCTTTTAACTATAAGATAATATATAAGCATTACAATCAATACATTTTCTCAATAACTTCGATCAATAATACCTAAAATTTTAATAAAATTCATTATTTCTTATACATTTCAGATAAAATGAAACTATTTATGTTATTACTAACAGCTATAGTAATACAAGGAGAAGAAATAAATGATGAAGAAGTTATATGCATCAGAAATGTACAACATGATATTGAAGTACTCAAAACGGATTTAGATAGGCCATACTCATTAGTTGTAGATTACAGCACTAATGTTTTATACTTCACTTACAGTCTGAACAACATAGACGATGTATTCAAAACTGGTTATATAAATCTAAATACAAAAGAATTCGGTGATTTAGAAGGAGTTGAAAATGGATTCACGCAAACCATTGACCAGAATAAACATGAAATATACATCGGTACGAACAACGGCATATATAAGTACGAGCATGCAAAAAAAACAGCTGAATTTTACGCCCTAACCGGCATTGATATCTGGCATATATATTTTAAGGATATAATTTACTATTCAATATTTCCTAACCAATTCTTCTATACGTATATCAATGGGGAGGTGATGAAATTTAAGGATTTACAAGATACGAAGGTGGATCAGTTTGTAATTGATAATGAGGATTTTATGTTTTTCACGAACGCTACCGGTTTGTATGGCCAAAGAAAAGGTAGTGATGCTAGCAAGCTCTACAATGAATATAATACTGATGGTATAAGAGCTCTAACCACTGATATAAATGGAAATGTATTTTTCTGTAGATTTGACGGTATTTACACTGTCGACAAAGCTGTAAGTTCAGTTAACAAAGTATTAGATCTAAATGACGTATACGGCTTGGCATTCGATAATGTTAATAATATAATTTACTCGGATGAAAGTAAAATTGTACGTCTTATACCTAAAAAGGATAAAGCCTGTTAACGCCAAGTAGATAATGAGTTAGCTGTAACTAATTTTAGTTTAGGAAAAATTTAATTTCCTAATACATTATCGTTGTTTATACAATTGATCTATGAACTTTGGTGAGGATTACGCAATTGTTTATTGATAATATATTAAAATATAATGGTTACAACTTAATTTTTATCTGAATTTCTTGATATTTTTTTTAATTTTATCAGATTTTATGAATCATTGTGTAAAAATGTTTCATTTTTTTGAATCATAAGCTTCATAGAACATCCTCTATGCTTGTTTATAGCAATTTTCTCAACACCAATTTAAAGTGACTAACGCTAGCGTCAATACCAATCGAACTACAGCTTTGTTGTATTGACATACGACCTATTTTCCTATGTACATCATATTATACGGAGGCAAAATTTAATTGGTTTTAACCTCAATGAGATAAAAGATCATAATATTAACATCATAATTCAGTTTTAAACAGAAATCGCGGTATTGTGCACGTCAGTCATGTATTATATAGCAATGTTACTTATTATTATAAGTGTTGAAGCTAAACTTAGAATATACGTAACAGATACGCCCATACAGAGAATAGGAAGCAGATTGTACAAAGTAGATCTACTGTCAGACAATTTTAAAGACCCGAAAGAGTTAGCATACGATTCGTCGAGCAGAAATCTATACTTCATGTACATGGATGACGAACTACAGAATTCTGGACGTGCTAAAATTAATATAATAACAAAACAGGCAATGAAAATCAAAGGAATTGAACGGAATAAAGCTACGGCGGTTGACCAAGAAACCGGTGATGTATATTTCGGTTCTGACGATGGTTTATACAAATACGATCCAGTAGAAAACAAAGCAAGAAATATTGGTTTATATAACATGAATATCTTCAAACTAGTGATACGAAGTAATGATATGTATTTGATAGATGCGAATAATCACATGCTTTATAAGATATACGACCAAGGTACTACAGCGGTTAAGGTAGGACATTTGAAGACTATAGTGGAATTCGACGTGGACTATCAAAGGAATATACATTTGGTGACAATGTGCGGTGTGTATTGCGTGTTCGGTGGCATTGAGGTCATTAAGAATAAAGATCTATCTATAGTATATCACTTTATAAGCGATGAGCAGAAAACCTTCGGTGTGACTGAGGACGGATTGTATGAAATAGACTGTCTAAATGGGACAGCCAATCGTGTGGCAAATTTGAACTTTTTTCCTAGAAGCATCACTTTCGGTGATTATGGAGATATTTTTTATACGATAGACGATAAAATAATTAGATTGAAACCACTTAATTCGTATACAGTGTATAATATTCATAGGAATGAACGTAATTAAAGTTTTTTTTGATTAACTTATTTCACTTACCTCAATATCGTGGTCATTTTGTCCGTGGTCATAGTTACCATTGCCGGTGAACGAGTTAGGCGGTAAATAACTGTTTGGTAAACCGAATCCTGGAAAATATTAATTATAATTGAATACCACCATTTAATTGATAGTAAACTACTTTGTCAATGAACAAAAATTTAATGAAATATGAACCTTATAACTATTAGCAATACGATCGAAGATAAACTCGCAATTATGATACATTTACATCCCTTTTTGAATTTTCTAAATTGACCTTCTAATTTCACATATACAAATATATATTGTGACAAACTGCACAAAGCTATGTTTTACGTATAATATATTAAAAATACATTATATTTACACACACTACTATGACTTACACACACATACATACATAATACGTCAATACGTGAAAATTCTTCAATGTATGTGTTGTCGAACTTGAAATAAATAAAAGACTAATTAGTAGAACATATAATATCATATTACCTGTTTTAGGTGGTAAATATGTATTGGTGGGTTGTGGGATCATATTATTACTGTAGTTTGGTTGATAGTGGTAGCCTACTGGTGGCTCGGTAGTGACCATCGAAAGAAGACTGAGAGTTAATACGAAAATCTGTCAAGAAAAGATTAAAGATATCTTAATATAATGAAAATCTGAAAGCAACTGAACCGATTTCGATAAGATTTATTTTATCATGTATACAGGATCGACAAAAGTACATAAAAATAATTATAATTAATTAATTCAAAACACTAATGTCTTAAATTGATTTTTTTATCAAAATTTAACATAAAAAACAAACAAAATGATGATTAATTTTTGTCAATATTTATATGTAAACTAGCTTTCCGCCCGCGACTTCGCCCGCATCGAGTTCGGTTATTTCGCGTTTCCAAGAGAACTTTACAGTCTGGGATAAAAACTATCCTATGTATTTTCTCAAGGTCAACTCTATCTCTGTACCAAATTTCATTAAAATCAGTTCAGTGGTTTAGCCGTGAAAGCGTAACAGACAGACAGGGTTACTTTCGCATTTATAATATCAGTATTGATGATGGATAAATTCCTTTTCTTTGTTTTGGATGAGTATCTAAAAGACGCACAAACAGACAGTTTAATAGTTAAGTGTTATAATTATCTCCATCTAAGTATTGAATCACCCAATGGACCCAAGTGACCCTATGGAATATATGACGTGAGAAAAACACTTCCGCCTCACTTACTACATCAGTAGCCTTAATATGAGTTAAACGAAGTACGCAGAGTTAATAGTTTTTCAGTAAAAACGAGAAATCTAACGTATGTCGATACAAACTAAGAGTAAGCATTGACACTATAATATTTATATACAGAAATATTTATAGTACATTTAATATGTAAAATAATTTAAATTAATTATGAAGTTATCTTAGTACGCAAATTTAATACATTTATATATCATGTATTGAACTAAAAATATATTCGCCCGAACAGGGACTTGAACCCTGGACCCTTGGATTAAAAGTCCAATGCTCTACCGACTGAGCTATCCGGGCCATACAAACAAATATATAATGTTGTATATATACATAATTCAAGTATATAATAATATTGTAGCTCTGAATATTTTGTTTATGTGCAAAAATCTCATCAACTACTAGACCGATTTGAATAATATTTGTTGTATTTGATAGTTCATTTATAAAGGAAGGTTATACATTAAATAATACGATGCCATGACTTTTAGTTGTTCTATAAACTGTATGCTTTTTGCATATGATTTTTGCTTAAGTCAAGAATCAATGTTAAACTAAATAAGACTCTATTTTTAAGTCACATCCCTACTAATATTATAAATGCGAAAGTAACTCTTTCTGTCTGTCTGTTACGCTTTCACGCCTAAACCACTGAACTGATTTTAATGAAATTTGATTCAGAGATAGAGTTGACCTTGAGAAAAAACATAGGATAGTTTTTATCCCAGACTTTTGAAAGGTTCTCTTGGAAACGCGATATAACCGAACTCCACGCGGGCGAAGCTGCGGTCGGAAAGCTAGTAGTGTATAATATTATTTGAAAGAATTTGATAGTATAGCTTGTTTTGTTTATACTATCGGTTTAAATTAATAATTAACATTTATTTATTTATTCAGATGTTTTATTAGCTTGTACATTTATTCGGAGTGGTTAGTTTATATTAGTATGTACAGCCCGGATAGCTCAGTCGGTAGAGCATTGGACTTTTAATCCAAGGGTCCAGGGTTCAAGTCCCTGTTCGGGCGGATATTTTGTTTAGATGAACCACAACAATAAAAATATAACAAAGGAGTAAGTAAATTCAATCAATATTAATTTACTCTTTTATTAAGTGCATTAATTTTTAAAATGAGCAGGATAAAACTGTACAATCTTAATATTAGTACAAAGAAATAAATATATAGGATTTAAAAGCACTATCTTGAATGAAACTATTTTTTTCGTATTACTACGTACTCCTACTAAGAAAAAATTCACACTAAGATTTCTCATATGCCCGTGATCACGGTTGATGTAAAGTAACCGAAACATCGCTATTATGTATTTTTAACAATAATAATATACGCGTAGTAATCAAAAAATATTAATTCCATTTAAATGAATACTCGCTAAAGTCTTATATCTCATTAAAGCACTATATCAGTAACAGTCTATAAGATATGAAATAATTATTCAAAGAAAACACAGGCGACAGACTGTTCCAATCATTTCTTGTACTCATGAATAAGGAGTAAGAATATCTCTTGGTAAGGATGTAAGGAAGATTTACAACGAAGGGATTTGAAGTATCTACATTTGTGTCTGAACGTCAAATATTATGACGGGAGATTTGACCTTGAAAATTCTGGATAAACTCTCCAATATGTGTGCTATAAATACTAAAAGACTATTGAATTAACTTAGCACTAACTCATACTTAGTTGATATATCTAATGAAGATTGTCTGGTAGTAATTAAAACTAAATCAAATCTGAAATATTATTATTATTATTTGAAATATTACATAGATTTTAAATTTATTGTAAAATACAGATTTAGGTGAAAACTTTTAATTTCAAATACATTGTTAGTTAATGTTTCTGTATCGACTTTCACGAAGACGTTTTGTGAAGATTTGTTTACGTAAAAAATATATTATTTTAATATATAAGACGTATTTTTGGAGATTCCAAAACCCAATATCCTATTGTACACCCATCAAAGAGGCTGTATGCTTAATATTTTTGGTATCTTTACAAACTTATCCCATTGTAAAGAAACTATGAGACGTTTTTAACTTAAAGTTTTAGTAACAAATATTCATATAAATCAATTATTATTTCAAATGCGTCAGAAATTAATAAAATAAAACTCTACTTACATTGTATTAGAGTTTAATATTGCATAGATTTCGAGAGACAATAAATTTCGTTTGTCAAAAATGTTGAGTATTTCAAATGATTTTGCGTCGTCTTTTAAAAATCCACGTAATAATTCTATACGCTTCCTATGTAAAGACTTGTTCAGTCTTAAATTATTTTAACGCAAAAGTATATCCGCCCGAACAGGGACTTGAACCCTGGACCCTTGGATTAAAAGTCCAATGCTCTACCGACTGAGCTATCCGGGCTGTACCAGTGTACATACTAATATAAACTAACCACTCGGAATAAATGTACAAGCTAATAAACCATCTGAATAAATAAAGTATTATTAATTGAATAATAAGCAACACTGCTATATTATTTTAATTGAATATTTCGTCTATAATTGAGTTATTATTTGAGAACTCACTATTTTCATCAATACGTCAAATGTTATAGATATTGAAAATATTTAAAAAAAAGAGTAATTTCTTAAGTCTTCGTATATTTTAATGTATTACTGTTGACTATGAGGTATCCAGAAAGACTTTTGCTTTAAATCTTTTTGCATTACAAATTGATATTGCTAGTAATTCAATAATAACCAATTAAATGTCTCACCAAAACACAAGCGCACGTGATTTTAAAGAGTTAATATGAACAATCACATCGAATTTATAACGACAATTTATTATTTATTTGTATCTTATAAGAAAAACTTTAAATAGTAACTAATTGTTCAAATTAGAAAGATCTAGAACTTAATAAAATCGCTTCAATTGTGAAAGCAAATGTAAATTATAATATATGCGACATATTCCCATGAACTAAAGTTTTTAATCCGTGCTATATCACACGAGCTGTCAATTATTATATTATTTTTGTTCTGTGCTTATAAATTGTATCATGTTTTATATTACAGTAATAAATTAATAGTTACAAAGATATAATACTTTAATCAATCATATTTTTTATTTGGGAAAATTTTTTGTGAAGCGATTAGTAGCGAGAACTAAATAAAATAACAAAACAATTGTTTTTCCCTATATTATGGACCTTTAATCACTTTTTCTTTACAAGAAATTAATATTGATAACATATTTTCACATCTAATTGAATGTTTAAATATACTAACAAAGTTCTTAATTGTAAATTCAGTAATGGCCGTAAAATTTTATTTCATTTAAAAGTTAATTTCGGATAATGTCTCCATTCTACTCGACACTGGCATAATATACGTACGTATTTGCACGGATGAAAGATATACATATTTTTAATAACCAACCATAATATTTTTATCTATGGTAATCACATTTGTTTATCCTAATCATCGACATAACTAATGGACATGCCTTAAAGATGAGAATTGTTTCACTCCGAAAGAAAGAGAGGAAACGAAGTTTCGGTCTATCTTCATCTCTCTCAAAATAGTACCGTACTTAAGACAGTATGAGCCCCTTCTGGATAATTTATTATTTCCTAATATCATATACAGCTTTACGTTTAACCTCACTGTCTCTGATTTTTAGCATTTTTAGAATTATACGGTTAAATTAATTATTTTAATCAATAAATGTAAATCCGTTTAATATACATCTATGAAATTTATGTGCCGCGCTTGTCATGAAAACTGAGCGCCAATCGTCTATGAGGAAAGAGATAGTGCTAGACCGAAAGCATAGGCCATCTCTCTCACTCTTTTCAAACAAAAAAATGACAGCAGATTATACAGGTACGGCATATCCATTATATGTCGATGCTAATTCCGTTCACATTATAACTATATAATCTGTCGTCATCTGTCATTCGAAACAACCAAAAAGTTTGTATATATTTACTTAAATGTAACGAGATTTCACTTTTATAATCATGCGTATCAAATTACGGCTGTATGAAGATACCGTGACACAGAATATATAATTATATTGGGTTTTATTTTCTTTATTTTGAAATAATTGAGCTATACGTAAAATATGAGAATTAAGTGAATTTATTATACTAGTTTTTGTCTACACTTTGTACATGTTAACTTCGCAAATAAGAATAGGGACAAATTTATTATTAAAAAAAAGATTTGAGAAATAAACCGATAGTGACATGTTATCTCCACGAAAATTAATTTCATACATAATACAACTTTAACGCCTTGATCTAAACTACATTACTTTGAAACACCATCAAAATCCGTTCAGGAGTTTACGCGTAGAAGAAAAACAAACATCC